CTTCTCCTTCTATATTTTGAGGGCCCACGATCAATGGATTGATCATTCTGGCTCCTATGTTTCAGAGGGGTTCGCGATGTTACTGTGTATGGTTTTCAAGGGGATACTTCACTGGTTTCAAGGGCTGCTCAGCAAGGGTTTTAGGAACTGGTTTTGGAAGACAGGAGGCAAATGCTGCAAATGTATCAAGCGTAGTCTCCTCAACTGTTGCTTTTGGAAGCTTGTTCCAGTCCCTTATTGTCTTTGACAGGATTGAGGAGCTCCTGTACTGAGTTCTTGTTTTTTGTTAGCCGAAACTGCCTGTCGTGGCCTCGTCGCTGTCTGTAATGGAGAGGGACGAGTTTCTGTTTGACGCTGGAGCAGTGGACCAGCCCATTTTTGATCTTGTACATTATGGTGAGCCTGGATAGTCGTCGTCGTCGTCGTTCTTATGTTATTAAAGTCTTTAAAATTGTGAAGTTGCGCAAAATTAGTCAATAAAATACCGATATATGCGAACAACAAGAAGTAACATTTCGGCTGATAATCAGGAGCGGCCTTTACGATATTCATAATCGAATACTGTAAGCCTCTAACAAGATTAACCTTTAATAGATGGATCATCAAATATATCAAGCGTTGCGATATTTCATAGGGTCCAGTTATTGTAATCCGTTAAAGGCACCAGTTACTATTCTTTTTAAAGATTATAAAAATGATAATTTAGTTATTTTTAATAGAAAAATATTTTCTTTTTATTGTTGTACACACTGTTTCTCCTGGGTGGGAGGGGGGCACTTGAAGTGCTCAGTTTTTTTGTTTTTGTTTTTTTTTGGGGGGGGGGGGAGATGCCTCAAAGAAACACTGCGGCCATCTTCATAGTTGTTTTTTCTCGGCAAGGTGTGCTGGGGGGGGGGTCGAAAATACACTGAAAGCATCTTTGAAAGTAAGATCTGAGTGCAGGTAATTGCATACAAGTAGACACTTTTATTTGAATACAGGTAATTACATACAAGTAGAAAATTTATCAATTTTTTTAACAACCAACTCCCCCCCCCCACCCCGAAAATATGGGTTTTCTTGTTTATCATGTGGAAGATCAAGGAAATATGATGACTCTGATTTCAAGAAATAAAATTCCTGATAACTGCGCTGAATGATATTATGTATATATATTTTTTTTAACGATCTATTACCTCATTATCATTGTAACGCGTCTCCACATCGTTACTGCTGACTTTGGCACCATTTTAAAGCAAGTGAGTTATTTTAAAATACAATAAATCAGAAAGTTCGCGTACAACTCTAAGGTGACCCAGCAAAAAAATCTGGCCTACATAATTCATTAACAATAAAACCATCCGCTTCAATTGGATGGCGTAAATTATGAATAATTTATATCGTTCCGAGTTATCTTTCTTTCCTGGAGAGTTCTCCAATTCCGAAATATTTGTTTAGTTACTTTTTGTTTTAAATTTAAATTTATCATGCAATTCAAACACCTATTTTGGGGGTTGTAATCATTGCTGTTTTCAGTTTAACGGAACAATTAAAAAAATATTGTTTACATTTTCAATAGACTGTAAAGAGCAATTTACAAGTGTATTTTTCTTGGTGAAATATGATTTTCTTTTGTTTAGTGTTAAACTTACTTGAACTAAAGAGGAGTATCAATAAGTATTCTACCCACTCTTTTCTATACAGGTTAAATAAGTTGAAATACAGTTTAGGTAGAAGTAGGTATATCCCGGGGTCCGGTAAGACGATCGCTTTTATCCCGAGATTCCGGAAGACGTAAAACCTATAATGTTGGCACCCGGGACGAGTGCCCCCTTCAACCCCCACCCCCCACTTTCTCTCCCCCCCCCCAATTTAGAGTCCTGAGCTCATTAGCCATTCTTAGACCCAGCCAATGGGCCACCGGGACAGTACGTCACGCTCCGGACAAGTGTGTGGGGGGGGGGGGTGGGGGTGGGGGCGGTCTAAGAAAGTGTGACAGTTTGTGACACGGCTGGGGGGTGGGGGGATGGGTTAAAGCTCTTTAGTGACGTCAAACATATTAATTCTTTATTAAAATCGTAGATATAAAGTTTATAATTGACTGTGAAGTTGAACTTTTTGTTGTGATGGAGGTATTCTGGCAGAAGATGTCACTTTGATCAATTGAATAGTTTAATAGTGAAGTTTTTAAAGAAAATTTGTATTACTTAATTTTAAAAAAAATAAATGTAGTTCGAAAGTGTAACATACTTGGGCTTTGGGGGGGGGGGGGGGGGGTGGGGATTTGTGACAAATTGTGACAGGGAGAGGATGTAAATGACCGAAAATACTGAATCGACCCACCCCCCCCC